TGCACCGCTCTGAGCAGTGGTCCCTCTGCAGTGTGGATGTGAAGGCAGGACAGTCACCTTCACTAAGTGCACACAGAGAACCCTCTTCCATCCCCACCCCTCCTGCCACCAGGCTCTCCTCCTTAACCTCCCGGAGGCAACCAATGGTATGGACTCCCCCTTTTTGCACAACTCATGGAATCGGCCGAATGCTTTAACGAACTACCCCCAAACCTGAATGACATAACAATAGGGGTTTATTTCTTGCTCATGTCCGAATCCAGAGTGGCCTTGGGGCCAGTGAGAAGAGAACACCTTTTCCAGGAGCCGCTGACTGTCACAGTGTCCTGTAATCTGGTGGCTCTGCCAGTTCCAGGGGATGTGAGGCCTCTGCCGGATGCTATCTGTGAGCCAACAAGGCAGAAGACAGAGCACTGACAGGCCAGGGGCTTGGGGAGCAGGGTCGGGAATGGCTTACATGGCACCTGGACCCACGTGGCCACAAAGAAGCGTGGTCTAGGAGTCTGGCCAGGACACAGAGAATGGGGTATGGCGAGCCCACAGCAGTTTTTGCTACACACACCTGAATGCTATTCTACAGCTTGTTCTTTGACTTGACAAGTTTTAGTAAGTTCCTTAGCCTTTCTAGGGGTTGCCTAGGGTCAGTTTTCAGATCGCACCGTAACGTGTTTACCTAGACCAAGGTGCGGCATCCTCCGCGCTCTTCCTCTCCTTCTTGTCCTTGGGTCCCCCACACGTGCAAGCCCGTCTGCAGGGCCGGTTCTCAGGCGACGCGCTGCAGCAAACGCTGTGGACTCCCGGCATTTCCATACCCGTTGCTGAATTAGCCCACTGAGCGGTTATAAGATGTGGCTCCCCATAGCCATACCTCGCTTGGTCCTGCTGTGTCAAGTATCTCTACTGCTGTCCGCGGCTGAGTGAATACGGCTCCCCCCATCCGCTGGGAGGGAGGCGCACAGCCCGCCGGGCCGTCGCTCCTCCACCCCTCAGGAGCCCCGTGTGTCTGTCTGTTCCCCGAATGTGCCCTGGGCCTCCTGTCCTCCGCCTGTCGCTTCACTTGGTGAGAAACAGCCGGGGGCTACAAGGTAGAACCCTCTGGCCTGTCTTTACGTTTACTCCACAGAAGCGGCTCTGAGAAGGCGAGCTTTGCATGCCCGTGCTGCAAACGAGGAAACAGGTTCAGAGGTTAATAGACCAAGGCCACCTAATCGGTATCTGCTATGTTTGCATCAGATGTTCTGAATCCGTTCTTTCCCTGGCCCGGGTGCTGCTCACCCCGAAGCACAGCTTGGGGCAGGGAAAGGAAGTACTGGCCTTTGAGCCGTCTCTGCACCCCAAAGCTGCCTGCCTTGGGGACCTGCATCTCTTGGAAGTCTCCTATTGTATTAAAAATATGTACACGTTGTGAATCTCAATTTTTAATATAGCTGCATTTATTTTAATATTTAAGATATTTCAAATTACTTGCTATCAAGAAACCCCAGGCAGGGTTCCTCCGTGGCTTGGGGAACCCTGGCCCGCTGCCTTGTACCAAAATTGCAGTGTCTTTTCTTCCTTGACTGTGACCTTCACGGATTCGTCTACTGATCACATATCTTTAAGTACTTGGCAGCAGAGAGCAGCTTATTAAACTTTTAAGAACAAAACATTGGAGATGACCAAATACATTATTGTGTTACCACTTTTAAGTTTCTAAAGGACTTGGGAATTGCTGAAACTGGAACTGCTTCTGGGTCCCAGGTTCTCTTACACACTTTTAAACCTTGCTTTAAGCACTTACGTTCGAACACATTGAGCTTGTCCACGAGGATGCACCCGGTTCCCAGTGACACCCTGTCACTGATGGACACTGGGCTGCACACACTTCTCCTGGCTCTGGAAATGGGGATCATTGCATTCGCCAGCTCCCATGCAGAAATACTATCAGAGTTGGTGAAATATGGTTTCAAAGTGCTCTTTGGAAGTAGTGTATAGATCACAGTCCACTATTGAGGCGGTTACTTTAGCGCTTATTTACTTACTAGTCATACTGAGTGCTGAATGCCTAATACTCAGGCCCAAACAGAAGTTTGTATCTATTACTGTCTGATGAACTTGAGAATTAAACTGATACATTTCCTTTCTGCTCCTGGAAGTTTTCAAGCTGAGTGTCTCTGTGAACATAACCAGGTCATTCCTACCCTGATACTGGTGCCTGTGTGAGATAACAGGGGACACCCTGCCTCCTGGTGAACATACTGATATTTTTGTATCCTCCATGTTATCTGGTATTTTAAGAATTACATCCCGACATTTAAAAATCTTTCTGCTCTCATGAAGCATCCTCAATGCTCCCATCTCAGAGTCTCAGGTGTGTTGCTCCAAATTAGCCACACCTTGTACTGGGTGACAGACCGTCTACAAACTGAATGATGGGGTTTTAAAATTCTAGTAACTGCTATAAACATGTTGTTCAATGGCAGCTAGCCACAGATGTGAAAATAAAATAATTCATTTCCTCAGTTGCACTAACTTACAGTTCAGCTGCTGGATAACTCAGGTAGCCAGTGGCTGCCACATGGTGCAGTCCAGTGACAGACATTTCCGTCATCTCAGAAGCTGCTACTGGACGGTGCTGGTCCGTAAGGTTTGTATCTTAAGCAACCAGTGTCTCCAGCTGAAATATTTTGACCTTTCTGCTCCTCCTATTCACCCCTGTCTTTAGATATTTCCCCCTTATACTATGATGAAAGATTTTAATTGTTTGGGCCTTAAAAGTGGTCTGGTCTCCTAGGCCACGGTTTGAACATGCAGAAGTGGCATGTGGGAGCCCCATCTGGCTGGTGCAGAGCCGACCCAGCCGTTTCCGAGAAACTGCCTGGGTTTGGAGTTGCTCCCAGAACTCTGATGTAGCGGTTCCTAGGTTCATGGCAAGTCTGAAAGCAGCACAGATCTGTGTTGTATATACAAATAAGCCCGCGTGTGCTGGATGCCTTCCCAGCCGGCCAGTTTCCTCTGGCTGCTCTAGAAAGTGCAATCAAGAGACACTAGTTAACTTGCGTGCAGAGAATGGGGCTCTCGGATCACTGACATGTCCTAGTTGAGTGATTAACCTAATTTTTACAGAAAAAACTGCCAAGGCAAGCCTTTTCTGTCCAAGATGCTCTGCTGTGCCACTGTAACTGCCTTCCAGATGATCCCAGCTGTGGCTTCATCCCTACAGCACTTGGAATACATCTCTGTGCTAAAAACTCTCAAATGTGCAGTTGATATGCTCTCAAAGAGGCCGCATAAAAATAAATCAACAATGGTGTTTCAGATTATCTTAGAAAAAAGTAAACTTAGAAGGAAAAGTAAGAGCTTTGCCCAAATTTTACACAGTTATAACCTTCAAGAATTCCTGGCAACAGGGAAGTTTTTTCAAATAGTAACTTAAAAATATTTATTCACATATTTTCTTTAGTAATAAATTATTAAAAATGCTTACTGAATGGCGATGCTTTAAGGGCTTTACAAATATTAATTCACTTAATTTTTATAACCACCTTAAAGTTAGGTATCACAATTATTATATTCATTTTAAGGATGAAGAAACCGAAGCACAGAGAGCTATGGAGGGGCCACGCTTAGCTACCTGAATGCTCCCTGGTACAGGAGGTTGTAGCATCAGTGGACAAATAGCTGGGCTTGGGAAAGGCTCTGCCCCTCCCCCCCAGATGAGTGGAGTTGCTGGCGGCATGGGGAGGGACTCTGCGGATGCTCAGTTCGGCCCAAAGTAGAAAAAGCATCAAGAGGGGCTCTTCTTAATTTTTACTTAATCCGTACTTATGAAGTGTGAGGATATTATGAACACACATATAATTCATTCCATCTGAATAGATGTGACTCTCAAAAGTAAATTTTTTTCATTTCATAAAATATATGTTGGGCAATGGGCTGGCACTGGGAGGAATGGAAGCAAACAGAGCTGCCGAGGCACCCTGGTGAGCCTGGGTGGCCCCCCTTAGCCGGAGGCAGTCAGGCTCCAGCCCGTCTTCAGGGCGAGTAGGGGGTAAGGCACATGTGCCCCTAGGGAGGGTGTGAAGCGTGGGAGGGAGAGGGGACAGGGCGGGTTGAATGGGGAGCCAAAGCATCGCCAGAGAGGAGTAGGAAGGCAGGCGTGGGGGGAGAGAGGAGGGGTTACAGTTGTGGAGCCCATGCATCTGAAGGGTTATGGGGAGCACTGTGAGGGCGCGAAGGCCTGAGTGCTGAAGCGATGAATGCAGTGTGTGTGTATGTGCATGCGTGTGCGTGTGCGTGTGCATGTGTGAGGGGGGAGAAGAGGATGAGTCTAAGGAAGGTTTTAGAGATAAAATGTTTTCATTTTCAGACTCCCCGGCATATGGCAGATACTGAATTCAAGAATTTCTACATCTCATTTCATTGTACTTCACACCACGTCAATTTTTTGTGGCCAAGTTTAATTTAACATTGAAATAACAGCTAATAAACAAATACTAGAAAATCAATTTTCACTTTCAAATGTGTTTTTTCTTGGTTTTTTTTTTGCAGAGTCTAAAAAATATTTTAAACTCTGGAATGGGATAAAGAAGGGAAAACTAAGACTAAATTTCTAAAAAGGTTTTATTTGGCAAAAATTTAAATAACTCCTTGTCAGAGACTAAAATGTTTGAGCACTACCAATTCCTTTGACCAGGAAAAAACACACACAGAATAAAAGCATTTAAAATATGAGGAATAAAAAAACTAAGCAAAATAAAAGGGAAAGGCTTTACCTGCCCACGGAGTTCTCTGAGGTCCGGGCTGTTGGCTCCGATGGCGTGGGGGCCCTGCCCGCGAAGTGCCGCCCCAGCTCCGTGGCACTGCCAGCGGCGACGTGTCGCTGTCCCTCGTCTTCGTGGCTGCCCCTTCAACAGCGTCTCGGTCCCCCCACAGCCTCGGAGAGGGCGACCTCACTGCCCTTCTCAAACAGCTCCTAGTGCCGTGAGCGCCTTCTAACCGCACCCCCGTGTCTCCCGCAGATGACGTTCGACCCCGAAATCTTCTTCAACGTGCTGCTGCCGCCGATCATCTTCCACGCGGGGTACAGCCTGAAGAAGGTGAGTACAGGCCGCCCCGTCCCTGAGGGGGCGCCACCGCGGTGCCCAACGAGGCCAGGGCGCCGCGCGGTGGGCCCGAGTGGCGAGAACACCACTGCCCGAGACTGTGCTGTGCAGCCGCAGGCCCGACGGGCCTCGAGCTCTCCTGGCCCTGCCTGGCCCTGGCCACACGCAGCCACGAGGCCTGACGTGCGCTAGTCCAGTGGGAACGAAGACGCTCGGTGTGTGAAATACGCAGTCTTTTCAGACCGAGTATTAAGAAAGAATGTAAAACATCTCAGAAATGTCTTACATTGCTTTCATGAGGAAATGATAATGTTTGGGTCTAGGGGGTTGAATAAAATATATTGTCAAAATTCATTTTGCTTTTTTAAAACTTATTGTAATGTGACTACTAGAAAACTTTAAATATGCACATGGCTCACGTTATGTGTCTGTTGGCCGCTGTTAACGAGCGTTGGGCTTAGCCAGTGGCCGAGGGCCCAGGTGCTTTGCTCCCGCTCAGCTGTTGGGCTCCCAGGGTAGAGGTCCCGTCTCAGAGCGTCGGGCTCTGCTACTCTCACCCAGGCACGGCCTGCAGTGCAGGGCTCCCAGGTCAGCGACGCAGGGCACAGGCCTGCCAGCACCCCTGGGAAGGGCAGAGCTCTGCCCGGGCTCTGAGTCCCAGAGCAGAGGCCGGAGGCTGCTGCTCTCCTCCCCCGCAGCCTCCTGGCTGGGCTGTGGGCGCGCGGGCTCCGCGCCAGGCGCCGGCGGCCTGCTCAGTGCAGGCCTGATTTCCCTGTGGACTCTGGGCTCCCTCTTGCCGTCAGTTCCAGCCTGGAGGGGAGTTTTCCCAAGTGAGCCCCTGAAAAGACGTGGAAGGCTGGGTCGCTCAGGCCGCTCCCCCTCACCCAGCCCCAGTGCCAGGTGCCATTTTGTGAGTGTTTAAAATAAATTGTTGTAGGTGATTGAAGTTTGTTTCATGACATTCAGAGGAAATGTAAGTCAGAGATCCAAAAAGAAAAGCCAAAGGCAACTTAAATCTTTTAGAATGGTATTTTTTAAATGCTAAAAGGTTCCAGGGACAACAAACTCCTTAAAAACCCTCTTTCCAGAGCCTAGTCCCTTCCCTTTCTCTCGGGTCTCGCCAAGCCTGGGACTTGTTTCTCTCATCTCGGCTCCATCACCTTCCAGGTGTTTCCTTGCTTCTTTGAGACACCTCTGGCCTTTGCAGTGTAGATTAGGAAAGTCTTATTGTACAATAAGGCCAGGAACTGAGGTTCTAACAACAAAACTTGCCCAAGCAGAGAGGAAAGGGGGAGTCAGCAAAATGTATGCATTATTTTTATTTCCTGTTACACTAAGATAAAATGCTGATGTACTATACAAAATATATATATTTTTTTCTCCCCAGAGACACTTTTTTCAAAACTTAGGATCTATTTTAACATATGCCTTCCTGGGGACCGCCATCTCCTGTGTCGTCATAGGGTAAGTGACTTTTAGGGCTCCAGTCTATGAGGCGCCGGGCCACTGTCCCTGGGAGGAATCTCACATTTCCAGGACTCACAAGACTGGGTGAATTGTCTATTTTTTTTCGGTATGTCACATTTTTACACATTTTTCTATTCAGTTCTAAGACTTTCATATCTTCTGACAAACATGAGATTTCAAATCAGAGCCAACTGAGGTTTGGCCGCCGGATTTCCTCTGAGTTTGGACTTCTGGCCTAGGGAGTGTGGGTAACGTGGCTTGAACCGTGTGCAGCGTGCAGGCCTGTTTCTTTCTCATGATGTGATACTGGTTATGCTGCTAACTCTCAAGTCTGATGGTGTCGACTCTGGCTGGCATCTCATCATAAAGCAAAATGTGGCACGAAATGGGAAAGCCAGTCCGACTCAGCTATATTTCCACCCGGTGCACAGACGGCCACTGCAGAGAACAGCCGGCCGCTGAGCCGGACGGCGGGTGCCTCGCACTGTGCCCGCAGCCAGCGCTGCCTTGGGCCTCCCTGCCCAGGCCGTTATGACCTAATGCAGCAAACGCAGCTAAACACAGTCTCCCATGCGGCCCGTCCCTGTGAACGGTCAGGGTGTGTTGCTGAAGGCTAAGGGTTTATCTCTTCTTGTACCTGAAAGCAGCGTGGGGTGCATGTTGAATTCTCTAGGAAATTTTTATTGATTCCAGCCCAGAGCAAACCAGGCTGCATCACACGGAAATGTCCAGCCTGGTTAGAGCGGCGAGGGGGCCTTGCGGGAACGTGGATGGGGGGCCTCATCAGTCTGGGCGCCTGGGCCTTTTCACGCGGTGACTGAGGCACCGGGGACTTGCCCCCCTCTAAGCATGGTTGGGGCGGGCTTTTCGGTTCCGCGCCTGTGCTGTAGCTAAATGTTCAAATTTCAAAGCCGGCAGGGGCCTTAGAGATCCGTATAGTTAAATCCCCGCATTCTGAAGATGAAGAAAGTAACATCTTAAAAAGCTAATTAATCACCTTAATCATCACAGTCACCTGGTCAGGGCAGAGGTCAGACCCACAAGTCCGACCATCGCCCCGTCTTGCACGGTTCCTCTTGATTTCTACACACCCCTACGCGCTGGCCCTGCACGCTGGCGGAGGCTCCGAGAGGGGTGCACGCTCAGCAGATGGGCACCGCTTTGCAGCAAGCATTGGGCGTCAGCAGGTCTATAAATGGGGATCTGAAATTCATAATGGATTCAAAGCCTAAACTTACGGCAATGCTGTCAACTTACTGGTTTTCATTATTTCCATTTCCTTTGTATAACTGGTTTAAGTGTATTTAACTGTATGTACTAATATAATACGCTTTGATTATCATGAAAAATCTATAAATCTATTTCTTTTGAAGTGCGACAATATGTAATGGGGGACAATATGAATTGTCCTAAAAAAGGTCAGTTCAAGAGATTGGTGATATTCATTGATTAGAGTTGAGGACCTCTCCTAATTGATTGTAAGGTTGCAATCAATAACTTGTACTGGAAGGTGATCTGAATGGCTTTTAGAACCATGTTGTTTGTTTGAACTGAGCACAACCTGGACAACAAACGTCTGTAGGGAGCCTTCTGAGTGTGGGACGTGAGGTCCAGGAGGGATCTTTGGTGGTTCACAGGTTTCAGGGTCTTATCTACAAGGTGCAGGAAACCACTGCAGAGCTTTAGCTTCAGGGTGATGAGGCCAATTTACACTTTAGGAAGGTCCTTCTGGTGACCGTGGGAAGGAGAATTTTAAAGTGGGGGAAAGATGGCAGCCCAGCAGCACTTAAGCGGCGATTTCCATCGGCTGGTTGGAAGTGGTGAGGCCTGGCCTCAGGCGGGGCAGCCACGGTGCCTGAGGTGTCAGCAGCCAGTTGAAGTCCTGAGAGAAAGTGGGGTCATTCCGGGCAGGTGCGGAGAGAGGAGGGAAAGCGCCCGGGCAACAATGCTACTCGAAGAAATGGGAGGGGCGCCCCCCAAAGAGTAAGAAGTGCTGGGCCCAAGAAATGTGAAGCAGACCGTCAGGGCTGAGTCTGGAAGCCACGCGAGGAGGCAGAGGGAGGTGGACAGCCGTGACCTGGGAGCCTCAGGGAGGCAGGAGGTGGCGTGTCTAGTGCGGTCACCCTCGGGGGCGATGGGTGGCAGGAGGAAGGGGAACACACCGGCACGTCTGCTTGCCGTGGGCACTGTGTGATGGGAGGCAGGCGCTCGGTGCTGTGCTGTGTCTGCAGGTGCAAGTCCAGAGCTGAAGGAGGGGCAAACTTAAACCCCACCAAGCTGGCCCTTCCTAACGCGGGGGCCCCTTCCGAGTCACTGAAACTGCCCCTTGAGCCTTAGGAAATGGCCGGCTGTATTTTTCTGATAAGTTAATGCTAATAAAAACGACATCACACACACTTACTGAGTGCTCGATGTGCACTGTGTGTATTTTAGAAGTTCTTTACATACATTATTTCACTCAAAACAATCCTGTTAGGTAGATCCTGTAATTACCCTCACGTAGCAGGCGAGACATCTGCGGACTAGAGTAACATAAGTAAGTGATGGAGCTACTATTCGTAAATAGTGTGGTTCCAGAGTCAAAATTCCTAATGCCCAAAATGTGTTTTCTTCTGTTTATTATTGGCACTAAAAATGAAATTAAAAAAATTAAACTAAAAAGTAAAACTGTGTCAACAGTTGCATTTGCTTACATGCCGCATGTTTCTTCACTAGCCCCGTGGGAGTCCCGCAGACGTGAGGGATTTTATCGGGAACTCCCCCCAGAGGCATTCGCATCTCTAAGGAGGGGTGCCCGGGATGTGCTGCTCTGCTCACGCCTGCGGAGGGGGCAGGGGGACAGTCACGCTGGACTGAGAATAACTTTGCAGGGGAGGTAGAACCTGGTGGCCATTCAGCGGAGGGGCTGAGGCCGTCGGGTTTTCCAGGCCATCGGTGCAGCGGTGCTGGGGGCGTGGTGAGCACCGCCGGGCTCCCCGCAGAGGTTTCAGAGCCGCGTGAGGGCTGAGGGGCTGTAGAGCTGCGGGCAGCTGGCAGGCAGCCGGCGGGCCCGGGAAGCCAGGAGCAGGAGCTCGTGCGGGTGTGCAGAGTGGTGAGCGGTGAATGGAACGGCTGTGGGGCCGGGTCTTCCACAGGCAAAGACAGTGTCTGTCCCAGCTGCAGGTCGGTTTCAAAGCTGGACTCAAATGCTCTACAGGAGCTGAGATCATTGGGTCCCCTTAAATGACAGAGTTCTTAATTAAGCTTGTTAACTTCCTATCGTTTCAGAAATTAGATACAGACCATCCTTTATATCACATGGGAAAGTTTAACAAAGTCCGTCTGGCGATAAAATCAGAGACATCTTTGAAAATTTTAAGGATGGGCTGTCCTTAAAGAATGCGGCATCTTTTCTAGTCCGGTCCTCCACTTTGCCACTTAGGAAATATCTTAGCCATGTCTCTGTTTTAAATAAGCCCCTGTGTCTAAGATGTTCTCTATCCACCGCCTGCACCTTCCGGAACTGGCCCTTTACCTCTGACCCTGCCTGGCGCGTGTGCCCAGGGACCCGTCATCATGGTCACAGCCCGATGCCACCTCAGCACGTCCATCGCGGCCCAAGAACTAAGTAGTTATCAATGAAATGCTTCTTTTTTAAAAAGCAGTGAAAATATTTCAAAGATTTTTTGTTAATGAGGAATTTAAAAAATGCTGCAGTTTCACAGATATTTGGAGAAAGGGACATGGATCTAAGTGGTGAAGAACAGGTGTTAAATTTTAAAATTTCTCATTTCTTAAATCTCATCTCAGTTGCCAGGCCTGACGGTGCTTCTTGCCCATGCTCTCGTTTCATTCTCGCAGCGCCCTCTGAGGTAGGCGCTATTCGTAGCTTGACTTTGCAAGCAGGGATGCAGAGGCTGAGACCTGCCCGAAGTCACAGTGAGTGACTGGCAGTGAGTGCAGAGCCAGTCCGACTGCAGAGCACACGCCCTCTTCCTAAGGTGACACTTCACGGCTGGGGTTTTACAGCAGACAGCTGCACAGGCCACATGAACCACGCCCTCATAATTTCAGAATTTTACGTTTATCATTATGGCTGACAACTGTGAAAATCTGAATGTTTAAGAATGAACCCTGAATATAACTGTAAAGTCGGACTGGACCCTGTCTGTTCTTACTGGAGGTCGTTGGAGGGATGGCATGAGTCACGTTACTCAGCTAAAGTTCGGGGACTCAGGGCTGCTCCGTCCACAATTCTGGGCTCATAAATATTAGGCTGTGTTCATACCAGCATCCCTCAGGGATGGTCGTTTCCAGTCATGACCCTAATACACACAGAAGCTGGGCCCGACCCTCCGCCTATCTGCCGGTGAGGCGCAGGAATGAGGGCCCTCGGGAGCTCTCCCCGGCCCTCCGTGGGGCCGTTAGGCTAAGTGCCCTTGGCCCTGGTCTGGAACCACTGCTGCCCTGTTCCTACCCCGGATTAGGTTTGCTGAGGCCTAGTGTCTCAGAGTGCTGACTCCTAAGCCTGGCAGAAGGGACACTTGCTCGTCTAGAAGCAAACCCTGAGGGCGTATCGTTCATAGAGGGGCCAGCACAGCCTCAGTGTCCGGAGGCCTGACCCTGGGAAGAGAAAGATTTTGAGCAGAGTTCCCAGCCCCGGAAACGGACCCTGAGATGTCACATGGAGGGACTGCAGGAAAGCAGCGAACCCCATGACTTTTTCATGGGAGAGAGTCTGCATAGATCTCACCGTTCTATCGATTTTGGGGGGGAATTACAATCCACAGACACAAAAACCAGTATGTTTTTCGAGAGCCTGAGCAAAAAGATAGGTGGGAAAGGAAGGATTTTACATATCTCCACATTTAACTAGAACTGAAGAGTTCTCAAGGCTGCATTGAGGGTGGCCGTGAAGTCTGGAAACACAATGCTATTATTTTATTGTGTGTTCTAATGTAACCACAATAAACCAGTTATTCTGTATCAGTCTGTGTTCCTAGACTAGGTGGCCATCC